TGACTCCAAACTGACATTGAGGCACACCCTAGAAATCGGAGCAGAGACCATGAGTGATGTCCATCCCCAGACAATTCAGGATATACCATGGCACTTTTTGACAAAGTTGATGGCCTTGAACAGAACTGCACTTAATACTCACTATGAAAGTGATACCCAAATAATCAATTTTAATGAAAGCAACTTAATTTTTGACACATCAATGATTGAAGGGAAAAGTAGTTCAACAGAATCTATTCATCCCCTGGATGTACTCTGTGTTGTCATCCATTGTTCAGACAGTTTTCTACAGCAGGAGATTGTGACCAAAATGGCCATGTGTCAGTTTTCTGTCCCTCTGCTGTTGCCTGCTGGTGATGGGTCACAATGCACCTTCATGCTGTGGGCAATGAGGGACATTGTGAAGAAGTGGAGACCTCAGTCACTAGCAGACAGTAAAGGGTTTAGTGAAGAAAATGTGGTAAATATTCCTATGCCAATTTTCTCCTTCATCAGACTGGGTGACACCAAACTATCCAAATCTAAAATCCTAAATCAAGTTCTTAATTCAACCCAGCAACAACACAACGTCTTCATACATGATGATATGGAAGGAGGAAACATCGAAAGAAAAATATCTGATGGACTGGTGGAAATGTCCTGGTATTTTCCCTGTGGTAAGTCTGATGTCTTTCCAGAACCCATCACAGTGACCAACCTACGAGGAGACCTGGAGACCAACTGGGAACAGTTCACATTTCTGACTCGAGTCTCATCAGCTGTATTCATATTCATTGAGAGTATTTCTGAGATACAATTCAGACTGTTATCATCCTGCAGTAACACTGGCACCGAGTTCTATCTCATTGTTACTCCAGAAAAGGGGAAAAAAGTAAGTATGGAGACCTCAAAGCACATAAAGAATTTAATGACAATTTTAAAGATGAATGCAACAAATATTATTCTAAAAACCAGCACAGAAAACGATGCAGCATTGGTGAGGAAAATTCAGAATAGCATTGAGAATGTTATAAAAAACTGTCAGGGAAAAAAGCAAAACCTGTGTAGAGCTACAAATGAAATCCAAAGTCTTCATATCTTTGTGGATGAGAATTCTGATGAATGTCAGAAAGCAAAAGAAAATGCAAGTAAAATTACTTCTGCAATAAAAGATGTGGAAGAGTATAAAAGGGAAACACTGAAACTACAGGGAGATCTGTGGAAAGAATTGTCAAAAGTAGAGAAAGAACTTTGCAGAATGGCGAAACAAGGGGCAAAAAATGC